TCGAAGTACATATGTACTATATGCTAAAACATATTGTATAAGCTATAAAATCAAATTATAAATGTAATTAAATACGAAGTTATGTAGTAATGTTTTATAATAATTTTAACATTATTTGCGTATTGTTGCTTTATTCAACACTAATCCCAATTACATCTGATATAAGGCTTGCATAAAGTTGGTCATCCAATTTTTTTGGTACATGTCAGAGGAGTTAATAAATCCTTGCAAACTTAAAACCAGGCAATGATTGTATTAATTTATTAATTTATTTGCAATTGCACTCACTCGTCACACTACTTTAATCTTTGCTCCCTCTTTGTCATCTCCTTTACAATGTCTTCTCCATTACTTAATTAACAGATCATATATCGTTACTTAAGATACAAGTTTACTGCAAGAAAATTAAAGTTTAAGTTCGATCTCTAGGATTGAACCTCCAATTTATTGAATTTTGGTCACATAAAATTACATCATTTGTCTTACATCACATTGCAATAAACTTTAAATTACTAATATGGTTAGTAATAATTTTTTTACATATATTATAGTGTTATACAACCTTATCGCTATATATAATTATATTAAAGTTTACTCTGGCAGATCATTTCATGGTCCCATAGGGGACCGCGGAACCACGTGCAACCAATCATATCTAGACAGTACATGCAAAATGCATCAATGAAAATTTATAATCCTTTCAAACACTTGCAAAAATTATAAAATCATAACTTTGTTTCTAAATGTTTGATTTTATGTTAACTCCAATAATAGCATTACAAGAAACTTTGAATAGAGACAATAAATACATTACAAGAAACTTTGAATAGAGCCAATAAACAATATTTCCATCATGATTATAATTTTGTTATGATTAATATTCAAAAAAAAAATCCTATTATGATTATTCTGAGATTCTACTATTGCTTATAAGTATGTTATTATGAGTTGCATTTAGATTGTCACTATATGATATATATGATATATAGTTAGCATGATATATAGCTAGTTAATAATATGTAGCAATAAATGCATAACTGAAATTATTAAATTATTTATCTTGTAAGGGCAACTCCTAGAGTTATGTCCTGTTTCGTTACAAATACTACATATATATATCTTTTTGATAAAATGTTCAGCACCAGTTTTTTTACATTTTGTATTACTTGGTCTTTCTTTTGTCTTAATATTTGTAGGATCACCAATATCGGCTTGTTGTAAAGGATATTGGTTATTCAACTTCTCAACAAAAAGAGAGAGACAATTGTTAATTTCAACATGACCAACCCTATTAGCAATCGCTTCAATTTCTTTAATTAAATTAGCTGTACTATTAAATATTGATTGTTTGCTAATTTGAATTTTACAAGCATCGTAGTTTGAAGAAGACAATACAGTAGTTGAAGAGTTTTCATTATTATTAATATCATATGGCTCTTTAGGTTGTATTACATTATTTGTGTCTGTTGCTGAGATAATCCAACGAGTGCCAATATAATTAACTCCTAGAGATTCTTTACAAGTAAGATGAACAGCAATAATATGACGGCAGGGTAAAGAAAATTGTAAGCCATAATCACAATGGCATACTAATTCTATCTCAGTACGATATACTATATGATCACGATTTTCATTAAAAACTTTAAATAAACCAATGCCCTGTTCCTCAACACTATAAAGCGTAGCACTATTATATTGAGCAAGTAACAAGAAATATACAAAATCTGATATAACTATTGAAACATTTTTTAATAATTCTGGGCATTGTTGACGGGTGCTTCCACGTAAACGATATTACTGATATTGGAATCATTCAAGTTGATTATGAGATAACTTTTCCAACATATTAATTAATTCAAGTAAGAGCACCGTATGACCAAGCAGACGTTTTAAATGAGCGTTACTAGCTTCTGAGTGTTGTGTCATTCTAATATCATAGTTAACATTTTATTGGTATAACAATATGCCCACATATGAGAAATAGACTTCCATTGTTCCATGTTACTATTAACTTCAGAATATTCTTTTAACCGACGATCCCAGCGAATAGTAAATTGATCTTCAACAGTTTCTGTTATAACTAATTTAAAATCCTTACTGAATGCTAAAAATTTATTACTAAGCTTGCTAGTTAAATTCTTAACAATGTTTTGTTCTATGTGCCAGGTACAAAGCTGGTACTTAATATGTGAAAGTTCAGTTCTAATTGCAGGAAGCATAGCAAGATCTCTATTAGTTAAAATTGTTTGTATCTTATTAATAACATTATTGCCTACTACTTTTTTAGTTGATGAAGTATCCAGCTATAAGTCAGAGTAGTTTCATTGGCAAGAAGCCCACTTGCTATAAGAAATGTAATTCCCATTGCATCAACCCTACTAATAAGTAAAAGTGGCATTCTGAAACGATTAGTTTTATAAGTAGCATCTATCAATATGATCTCTGGATAATATTTAAATGTTGTAAGTGCAGATTGAGTAGCAAAAAATAAGCAGTGAAGCATATTATCATTAACTGAATAAGTGATTTTATATTCACTATTGTTATGTAAATGGGTTAAAAGTTCAAATATTTGTGACAAGCTCTTAATACGGTCACAAGAACGGGATTTAAAGAATTGTAAACATCCTTGTTGTGAATATATCTACCATATTGTTCATTTAATATCCTAATAATTGTTAGAACTAGTACACCACTGTTAAATAGTATATTTACTTGATTCTTTTCATTATAATTTAATTTGCAATATCCAGGATCAAACAAAGTTACTGCAGTATCCATAGGATGGTTATGTTCAAGATTAGCAGATCTTACATGATATTTATTATTAATCCAATGAACTACTATTTTAAATAGACAACCAATTGCAATACTCTTTGTAGTTCTCAATCCAGTATTTGTTTTTTTGCAATACCAGCATGATGACAAACAATGTCTGCTTTAATAATGATACCCAGGCTTTTCTCTGAATGGTCCAATCTTGTTGCAAAACCTTGTGATATAGCATAAGCTTTAATGTATTGTTCAACATCACACCAACTAGTAAAAGTTTTTCCAACTTCAATTGATGGTACTAAATTGTTGTTAAGTGAAAATGCTTCTTGAGGTACATCATTAATATCAAGATTTGAATCAAGACTATCGTCAGAATCGACAATTATGCTTATGTCAATGTTATTATTAT